AGACCGTCGTAGGTAAGGGGGAAACAGTTCATTGCGCATGAATTGGTGGAGACTCGGTAATTGGTCAATCTTTTGTCACATGTATAGCAGACGATAACGTACATATTTGTTTGTTGTCATCGTTGATAACTCTAAACTATCACCAGAAATTAATAGTTAATGTTTCTTTTAATTATATAATAATGAATTAAAGACGTTCTTTTCTAATTTTCTATAAAATTATTAACAAAACTGTAAATTTACAGAAAATTTGTTTTACAGTGCACGTCATGGTTACCATGTACTTTTAGGTTATGTTTTTTGTAAATCAGATTTTGAGGTTTTATGTTGATTGTTCCTAAATATTCGATATTTCTAAGAATAATGTGTCCATGATCCACTATATTTTATAAAAGTAGTAAAAAATTCTTTAAAATCGAAGTATTTTGATGTTTAAAAAAATACAAATCCTAAAAAAACAATGTAACCACGGCTGGTACTGCGGTCACGACTGGATTACTTATCTTAGTTAATATAGATTTTTGTTTAGAAATTTTAAAATGACTCGTACTGGAAGGATTCCTTTAATAGATCCGTCTATTGTTGTTTCCACACTATTGAAATATAAGGAGATAATTTTACTAGCAAATGACAAGATTTTAAGCAAAACGCATTCTATTTGGAAACAAATATCAGAGGAGTTAGAAGGAAAAAAAGTAGCAGCTCGCTATATTCGTTTGTCTGTGACAATAAACACGGTATTCGAGATCTTTTAAATGGCCGAGAAAAAGTTTAAAAAAATGATGTGCTTTCGAATGCAATTGATGATAAAAATGTGGAAAGTGTTGAGGATTGTGATAATTCTTTTAATTCCTCCTTTGAAGCAGATAATCCCGAAATCGTCAAACATATCCTGTCTATGAGCAGAAAAAATTTTATTGCTATGACTACAGATAAAATGTACAATGGGCGAAAAGTAAAAAAATTAGTGCCAGGAGTGTGGCAGCAAAAAATTTCAGAACTTTTATGGAATTATACTAAAATGTCTTGTGGTTTTAATTATAAATGGCACTACCTAAACAACGATCTTGACTCTGGTTCAATTCATGGTGAGCGTTTAAAATTTTCAAATCTGTTTAATTATATATAATAAAATATAATAAAAATTAATGTGCTTAATGCTTAATATTATTTAATGTTTATATATAAATTATTGTTTATTAATACTAATTTTTGTTCTTTTTACTTCTGTTTCATAGGAAAGTGTAAATGTGGTACAACGATAAAAATAACTATTGTTGGTACTGAGCATACCGTGAAATTGAACTGCGAGTTTCTTGTCAAAAAAGGTTGTTGTGGAAAGAGGCAATTGCGTCAACCCATTAGAAATGATGTAGCAAAAATCCTCATGCATAAATCTTCGGAACGTTACAGAGAAGAGCAAGCAAAGAAGTTGATGTCATTTGGAGACCCTGAACCGCCTACTCTTCCTAAATTATCAACTTTAAATGTTGCGAAGCACGAATATGTTGAATCTTTGCATTTGGACAAAGATCCTGTCATCGCTTTAGCAAAGTATAAAAGAATAGGTGAAGTCGAAGTTAAATTGTCAATTCGAAACATAGGGTACGATCCATTCCACGTTATGTATTGGACAGAATACCAAAAAATTGTATACAAAAAGTATGCTGTCAACGAAGATTCGTGTATTAATACAGATGCTTCAGGTAAACTTGTACAAAAATTGATAAAGGCGGATGGAACAACTGGTCCACATATTTATTTATATCTAATGGTAATTAATTGTGAATCTGGTCAATTCCCTGTTAATCAAATGCTCTCAGAAGCGCAAGACACAGGAACTATTCAAAATTGGATAACACAGTGGATTCGTTCAGGAGTCCCTTTGCCCAGGGAATCGGTTTCTGATTCAGCACCAGCCTTATTGACTGCTTTAGTAAGAGCTTTAACTGGGCACATGACAGTTGAAAGTTATTGTGATGTGTTTCAAAAAGACCTATTACCTTCGTGTTTTGTAAGAATAGACGTTGCGCATTTTATAAAATTATATGCAGATGATTTAAAACAGGAGCATCGTCTGATAAAAAAATTTTATTTAGGTGTAATAGGCAGTATAATATTAGCAGAAAATTTAAAATGGGCCAGAAAACTCATTAAAGCGTCTTTAATAGTTGCATTAAGTGAAACAGAAGGAGACACATCTAAAACAAACAGGATTTTCTTAGGCAACTTAATTACTGGTCAAAAACAAATTGAAAAACTATTAGAAACTTTTGAAAATGAAGAAACGGAAGAAGACGAAATTTCGGATGAAGAAGATGACTCCACTGAGCCTGAAGAGTTAGCTAAGCTAATGAAAATTTATGGACGATTTGGGGTAAAACAATCGTGGATGAAGTTACTCCACTTTTAAACATGGGTAACGAGGTGAATGCATATTTTTGTGCAGTTTTTGCGAATCGTCTTATAAAGGACATAAGACGTCTTCCTATGTGGAGCTGTGTTTACGTGGAGAAATTTAAATACGGAAGAATACCAGCTTCAAGTGCAGCCGTCGAGGGAGAATTTAATAAAATTAAAAATGTCATTTTCAAAAACTCAAATAGGCAAAGACTGGACACGTTTGTCGTAGAACACATTAATTTATTAGATGGTCGAATGAATACTATCCAAGCAGACATGTTAAGGATCGAAAAAGAAAAAGAATTTGTGGAGAAACCAATTGGAAAAAAAAGAAAAATACACGGAAAAAATTAATTTAGTACATTTTACGAAACTAATTTTGGAAAAGCGGATACGGAGAGGAGTTTAGTATAAGATAAAACAGAATCAATAGTAATATATGATGACTGCGTTTCTCGAAAACTCAAAAAAAATTCTATGGAATTCACAAATGATCGGTTGGACGTTCTAATTCAAGAGTTTTGTAAAATGTTTAGCCTGAAGCGCATGCGCCACGGAAAAAAATATTCACGGAGAAAAAAACGAATAAAGCAGAAAAAAGAATTTCTTAATGTACCAATGAGCTCTCAAGACCATTTTTTCTCGACTTCTATAGGAGATAGATGATTGGTTCGACACATGTGACTGCACTCTACAACGCAATGGTTCGCTTGGATTGGCTTATTTTATTCTGACACTAACTTAACGGAAATACGCATACATATAAACGAATTCTGACGCAACGCACATACAATATAACTCGCACTTGTAGATGAAAGAATTGAGTTTCTTTATATATAATAACTGAGCAGATTAAAAATGCGCTTGTGAGAAATGTCAATATACTGAATATTAATTTTTAAAAAAATCATTTTTTTAAAAGTTATACAAAATATTTTATGGTTTTTAAAATAACATTTTTTGATTATAATTAGTTATAAAATCTCTATAAAATTTTTCAATTTTTAGAAAATAATTTTATTCTTAATTTTAAATTATAAATAAATTGACAAAAAATTTTCAAAATTAAATTCAAACTCAAAAAATGTTTATATTAAATTGTCTAAAATTTGAAGTAATAACAGTTAAAACTTGAGAAATTAATATATATATTGTCATCGGTAAATATTATGATAAACTATAAAATTTATTGGACTGTAAATTAAAAGAAATTAATAATAATTAAAAGTTTGGATTACAAAAGCACATAAAAAATGTTACGAATTTGGAACAATGAAATGTGAAATACGTAAAAGAAAACAATTATCCAAATGTTACCGGCAGGTAAAGCAGTTCTCTTTTTCCTTCCACATATTATATCTATATACAGCAGACAAGTTAATACCGACGCGACGAGACAAGCTTCAACATATCTATTTATAACGCGACTTTTGGTACACCCCGTATAGAATTTTTACCATTTTCTGATAAAATGTTCACCAGAAAATACGAAACATTTCTACATTCAAGCTTGTTTTATAAATTACAACACTGGTTGCAGTTTCTCGACAATTGTTCTGCTTAAAGTAGTGAAAGTTTCTGGGTTTTTGAAAAACTTCGTCTAGGAATCTTAAATATCCGCTAGTGCGAAATTAGTTTCGTAAAATCTGCTGAACTTATTTTTTCCGTGTAGATGACGTGAACAGCTCTTTATCAGATTCTGTTAATAGTATCGAAGCTTATTATGATGAGAACAATGTAAAGCCAATTAATGATGATCCATCGAAACTTGTTGCAAACGAAACAACAAATTTTTTTGATAGTCCTGAAAAAGGCGACAATATCACCGAAAAACATAAAGAGACACAAATAAATGATTCTCAGAATGAAAAATGTTTTGCTTGTGAAAACAAAGATGAGCCAACAGGTGCACACAAATGTGCAGTGTGTGACAAAGCTGTCCACATTTTTAAGGAATGTTCGTTGTCAATATGTGGTTGTGAAGAAGGCTTTGGCCAAAAAGCAAAAAAAAAAAAAAAATCAGCTCCTGTAATTCTCGCATCAAGATTTGAAGAAAATTGGAGGGGTCTGACAAATTCTTCGAAAACAAAAAAATTACGGGAAAGTAAATATCTCAAAAATGAGAATCATCTATTTGATGCTCTTAATTTTCCTAAAAATAAACAATTTCCAATATTGAAAAATGGATCTTTAGGAGTAAGTACAGTTACAAAAGGTGGTCATTCTACATTTGCAACTAATACATGCGCGTACGATTCCATTATGCAAATATTATCACTTTGTATGACAGAAAATAAAAATATTAACTTGGACATTGATGAAAGTAAAACAACTTTTATGAGTTTAACCAAAAAGTTTTCTCTACATGGTTTAGATGGAGGAAATCTGTACCAAATTCGAACTCGGTTACTATTCGAATTTTTTGGAAATGATAAAAATAGACTCAAAACGTGGAATAATTGCAGTAAGCTTAATTGTGCGATAAACATCTCGCAGGCAGCTTCGTATATGTTATCTGAATATCCCAGTTGCCAAGAAACTAGTGAATGTATTAATGGATGTTCAAAAATAGAAAAAACAAGGGTAACTATTATGCTTGCATATAAGGATCTTTTTCACGAGGATTTCAGTTTCGTCATGCAACAAAAATTGTCTTTGCCAGATTATTCATGTGATTTCTGCTCCAATATGATTACTACATCTTTAACATCAACAGGTATTACAAATATAATTAATACAATTATTCTAATTTCAGGGTGTTTACTATTTTCGTTCAACGAAATTCCCGGTTATTTCTCGATTTTTCCCGGCTATATCTTAATTTTTTCCGGTTTTTTCTAATGAAATTTTAATTTGATTTGGAACGTGAATAAACCTTTAAATTTTTTGAAAATAATGTTTTTTTCAATAATTTTAATTAAAAATTGGGAAATTAATTGAATTAAAGAAAGAATTTTTTAAAAATAATCATGTCTCTTTATAATTATAATTGAAAATTTGATTTTTCAATTTTATCAAAATTATATTGATAATAATTGAATTTCTGCAAAGAATTTTACTATTTATAAAAATACTTGAATCCTTCCAAAGAATGCTATTATTTATGAAAATAATTTAATTCTTGTGAAGAATTTTATCAAAAGTTTTGAAAATTATAAGCAGTAATAATTAATTATTTACTTAATAAGCAATAAACATTTAATTTTCTCAAGAAATAAATAAATATCATTGATTTGAACATTCAGAAATTTAAAATTATAAAAATTTAAGAGAAGTTCAATAATTATAATTATTGAATAATAATATAATCATATATTTTTTAGAAGCAAAAAATTGATTTAAAACTGTAAGAGGGACTTTGAATTTTAAAAATAAAATTATAATTATGGTCATTAACTTTCCTTGATTATTTTCGAAAAATTGAAATAAAATTCTTTAAAAGAATTCAATTATTTTTCGAAAAAAGTAAAGAAATTTCAATTATTTAAAAAATTTTCAATTAGTTGTTTAGAAAAATTCAATTATTTTGAAACAATAGACTTGAAAAATTACAACAATCTTATTTTTCAGATTAGAAAAAAAGAAAGTTCAATTTTAAGTATGTATTTTTTAAAATTAACTAATAAAAATTTTAATTAATAATCTTCGTCCTTAGAAACTTGAATACATTAGAATATGACTCTTTATAAAATTCAATTATTAATCAATTATTAAATTAAAATACTTTGAAAATTATATTTGTTAAAACATTTCTAATGAAATTCTTTAAAAATTGAATTACATATTTTCATTCGAATTTCACAATATAGCTATTAACTCCATAATTTTTTAAAAACTTATTTAAAATAATATGTTTCAATTGGTGACTGATTTTTTACTATTAAATTAATTATTGTAAACTAATTCAAATTTAGAGAACAGTATAAATATTTATAAAAATTGAAATAAAAAGTGATTTTTTAAAAACAAATTAAAATAATAAAACTTTTTTAATTTTAGCTAAAAAATTTCCGGTCAGTTAAGTCAGTAAAGCCAGGGAAATGTCTGTAAAACAAATGTTTTGTCAGTAAAGTCAGGGAAAAAACAGGGGAAAAATTGTTTGTCAGCAGAATGGCCACATGTCAGAAAAGTCAGGGAAATGTGAGGAAAATTAATTTCGACTTTTTTCGACTCATTTACAAAAATTGAGACTTTTTCGATTTTTTTTCCAAACATTGTAACGAAATACCACAATTTTTAGTAAATAAGTGCAACTTATTTTGATTTTTATATTGCGAAAAATAACTATAAGCAAATCATTCAAAAATTATTTTTCTATTTAAATTTTCTAAATGTACAATTAAAAAGATTTTCAATAATTGAAATTTTGTAAAATTTTATTGAAAATAATTAACTTTTTCAAGAATTTTGTTAGAACTTCTGATAATCAACTTTTGAAGAATTTTAATTGCAAATTTTCAAAATAAATGAATTATCAAAAATTTTAATGAAAATAACTATAAAATTCATCAAAATATTAATTACTTTTTTTAAATCATACAAAAACTCTTTTAAGAAATACAATTGTTTTCGAAAAATTACATTAAAATATTTTTAAAAACTACTTAATTTTCAGAATTTTTTAAGATTTAATTATATTTGAATAAAACCAAAAATATTATTTTTTCGAAATGTCAGGGAAATTGATAAACTGACTCTTGTGACCACACTGAAAGTGAAAATGTCCAAAATAAAAAAATCCAAAATAAATAGTAAAAAACATTTTTTGTTTCCTTGATATATTTACAAAAAATGCATAATAATAATACCTAATAATAATATTAATAATGAATACAAAATGCAAATAATTTAAAATTAATAAGTATTAATAAAAAATTAATTAAACTACTTAAAATTTTAAAAAATGATTAAAGGTAAAAAAAATGATTTCAGGTACGTTTATGATTCTCTTTATTGACGATGCAGACCTGAACCCTCCAATGCAACTGCAAATGATTCCCCAATCATATACAGTTGTACATGATGATAAAAATATACAGTACAAACTTGCTGGCATCGTTCACTTTAAGATACCATATATTCCTTCGCCGAGGCAGTCAAAAAGAGGAAAAGCTTCTGTAAAAAAAACAGTAAGCAACATGCAAGAGTTTCTTACAAAAAATCTAAGAAAATCGGTAGATGAAAATGATGAAACTCCAGTAGGACACTACACGGCAATCTGTCTTCGACAAGGAAATAAATGGACAGAATATAATGACCAAAAACTCAAAGAAAACCAACGATCAAGTACCTTCCCATGCTGCCCAAGTATGCTAATTTTTCAACAATTAGAATAAGTTTTAACAGAAAAAGATATCCAAAGTCAAATATATGTTATATAATATATTTTTTATAATTCAAAGCTTATTTGATAAGTAATATAATAATAAAATCATATAAGCACCATGGCAATATAGTGTTAAATAAACCTAACAGTATTAACAATAAACTGACAATACAAAATTTGACACCTGCCTAAAAACATTAAGATTGATATTACGTTGTATAATAATACAAAAATTGTGATATAAAAATAAATAATACATAACAAATTAATGAACAGTAAATCAATTCATTACATATTACCAATAATAAATGTACATTCCTAATTCTGCTGACTATAATCGACAAGTATTCGTATAGTATTTTTTTAATGTTCGGCTGGTAGTTAATGAGCTTGAAGCTCATTCTAACAATTTCTACGTATTCGTATGGCTGTTTTATATGAGCCTTTAGATAGCATTTAATTCCCCAGTTAAAAAAAATTAAAATAATTAAAAATTCTTAGGATTTTAAATGTTCTGCTGGTAGTTATTGAGCTTAAAGCTCATCCTAACTATTTCTACGTATTCGTATGGTTGTTTTGTATGAGCCTTTAGATAGCATTTAATTCCCCAGTTAGGAAAAATTAAATTATATAAAAATTCTTAGGATTTTAAATGTTCTGCTGGTAGTTAATGAGCTTAAAGCTCATCCTAACAATTTCTACGTATTCGTATGGCTGTTTTATATGAGCCTTTAGATAGCATTTAATTCCCCAGTTAGGAAAAATTAAATTATATAACAATTCTTAGGATTTTAAATGTTCTGCTGGTAGTTAATGAGTTTAAAGCTCATCCTAACTATTTCTACGTATTCGTATGGTTGTTTTGTATGAGCCTTTAGATAGCATTTAATTCCCCAGTTAAAAAAAATTAAAATAATTAAAAATTCTTAGGATTTTAAATGTTCTGCTGGTAGTTAATGAGCTTAAAGCTCATCCTAACTATTTCTACATATTCGTATGGTTGTTTTGTATGAGCCTTTAGATAGCATTTAATTCCCCAGTTAGGAAAAATTAAATTATATAACAATTCTTAGGATTTTAAATGTTCTGCTGGTAGTTAATGAGCTTAAAGCTCATCCTAACAATTTCTACATATTCGTATGGTTGTTTTGTATGAGCCTTTAGATAGCATTTAATTCCCCAGTTAAAAAAAAATAAAATAATTAAAAATTCTTAGGATTTTAAATGTTCTGCTGGTAGTTAATGAGCTTAAAGCTCATCCTAACTATTTCTACATATTCGTATGGTTGTTTTGTATGAGCCTTTAGATAGCATTTAATTCCCCAGTTAGTTAGGAAAAATTAAATTATATAACAATTCTTAGGATTTTAAATGTTCTGCTGGTAGTTAATGAGCTTAAAGCTCATCCTAACAATTTCTACATATTCGTATGGTTGTTTTGTATGAGCCTTTAGATAGCATTTAATTCCCCAGTTAGGAAAAATTAAATTATATAACAATTCTTAGGATTTTAAATGTTCTGCTGGTAGTTAATGAGCTTAAAGCTCATCCTAACAATTTCTACATATTCGTATGGTTGTTTTGTATGAGCCTTTAGATAGCATTTAATTCCCCAGTTAAAAAAAATTAAAATAATTAAAAATTCTTAGGATTTTAAATGTTCTGCTGGTAGTTAATGAGCTTTAAGCTCATCCTAACTATTTCTACGTATTCGTATGGTTGTTTTGTATGAGCCTTTAGATAGCATTTAATTCCCCAGTTAAAAAAATTAAAATAATTAAAAATTCTTAGGATTTTAAATGTTCTGCTGGTAGTTAATGAGCTTAAAGCTCATCCTAACTATTTCTACGTATTCGTATGGTTGTTTTGTATGAGCCTTTAGATAGCATTTAATTCCCCAGTTAAAAAAATTAAAATAATTAAAAATTCTTAGGATTTTAAATGTTCTGCTGGTAGATAATGAGCTTAAAGCTCATCCTAACTATTTCTACGTATTCGTATGGTTGTTTTGTATGAGCCTTTAGATAGCATTTAATTCCCCAGTTAAAAAAAATTAAAATAATTAAAAATTCTTAGGATTTTAAATGTTCTGCTGGTAGTTAATGAGCTTAAAGCTCATCCTAACAATTTCTACATATTCGTATGGTTGTTTTGTATGAGCCTTTAGATAGCATTTAATTCCCCAGTTAAAAAAAATTAAAATAATTAAAAATTCTTAGGATTTTAAATGTTCTGCTGGTAGTTAATGAGCTTAAAGCTCATCCTAACTATTTCTACGTATTCGTATGGTTGTTTTGTATGAGCCTTTAGATAGCATTTAATTCCCCAGTTAAAAAAAATTAAAATAATTAAAAATTCTTAGGATTTTAAATGTTCTGCTGGTAGTTAATGAGCTTAAAGCTCATCCTAACTATTTCTACGTATTCGTATGGTTGTTTTGTATGAGCCTTTAGATAGCATTTAATTCCCCAGTTAAAAAAATTAAAATAATTAAAAATTCTTAGGATTTTAAATGTTCTGCTGGTAGTTAATGAGCTTAAAGCTCATCCTAACAATTTCTACATATTCGTATGGTTGTTTTGTATGAGCCTTTAGATAGCATTTAATTCCCCAGTTAAAAAAAATTAAAATAATTAAAAATTCTTAGGATTTTAAATGTTCTGCTGGTAGATAATGAGCTTAAAGCTCATCCTAACTATTTCTACGTATTCGTATGGTTGTTTTGTATGAGCCTTTAGATAGCATTTAATTCCCCAGTTAAAAAAAATTAAAATAATTAAAAATTCTTAGGATTTTAAATGTTCTGCTGGTAGTTAATAAGCTTAAAGCTCATCCTAACAATTTCTACATATTCGTATGGTTGTTTTGTATGAGCCTTTAGATAGCATTTAATTCCCCAGTTAAAAAAAATTAAAATAATTAAAAATTCTTAGGATTTTAAATGTTCTGCTGGTAGTTAATGAGCTTAAAGCTCATCCTAACTATTTCTACGTATTCGTATGGTTGTTTTGTATGAGCCTTTAGATAGCATTTAATTCCCCAGTTAAAAAAAATTAAAATAATTAAAAATTCTTAGGATTTTAAATGTTCTGCTGGTAGTTAATGAGCTTAAAGCTCATCCTAACTATTTCTACGTATTCGTATGGTTGTTTTGTATGAGCCTTTAGATAGCATTTAATTCCCCAGTTAAAAAAATTAAAATAATTAAAAATTCTTAGGATTTTAAATGTTCTGCTGGTAGTTAATGAGCTTAAAGCTCAGCCTAACTATTTCTACATATTCGTATGGTTGTTTTGTATGAGCTTTTAGATAGCATTTAATTCCCCAGTTAAAAAAAATTAAATTATATAAAAATTCTTAGGATTTTAAATGTTCTGCTGGTAGTTAATGAGCTTAAAGCTCATCCTAACTATTTCTACATATTCGTATGGTTGTTTTGTATGAGCCTTTAGATAGCATTTAATTCCCCAGTTAAGAAAAATTAAATTATATAACAATTCTTAGGATTTTAAATGTTCTGCTGGTAGTTAATGAGCTTAAAGCTCATCCTAACTATTTCTACGTATTCGTATGGTTGTTTTGTATGAGCCTTTAGATAGCATTTAATTCCCCAGTTAAAAAAAATTAAAATAATTAAAAATTCTTAGGATTTTAAATGTTCTGCTGGTAGTTAATGAGCTTAAAGCTCATCCTAACAATTTCTACATATTCGTATGGTTGTTTTGTATGAGCCTTTAGATAGCATTTAATTCCCCAGTTAAAAAAAATTAAAATAATTAAAAATTCTTAGGATTTTAAATGTTCTGCTGGTAGTTAATGAGCTTAAAGCTCATCCTAACAATTTCTACATATTCGTATGGTTGTTTTGTATGAGCCTTTAGATAGCATTTAATTCCCCAGTTAAAAAAAATAAAATAATTAAAAATTCTTAGGATTTTAAATGTTCTGCTGGTAGTTAATGAGCTTAAAGCTCATCCTAACTATTTCTACGTATTCGTATGGTTGTTTTGTATGAGCCTTTAGATAGCATTTAATTCCCCAGTTAAAAAAAATTAAAATAATTAAAATTCTTAGGATTTTAAATGTTCTGCTGGTAGTTAATGAGCTTAAAGCTCATCCTAACTATTTCTACGTATTCGTATGGTTGTTTTGTATGAGCCTTTAGATAGCATTTAATTCCCCAGTTAAAAAAAATTAAAATAATTAAAAATTCTTAGGATTTTAAATGTTCTGCTGGTAGTTAATGAGCTTAAAGCTCATCCTAACAATTTCTACATATTCGTATGGTTGTTTTGTATGAGCCTTTAGATAGCATTTAATTCCCCAGTTAAAAAAAATAAAATAATTAAAAATTCTTAGGATTTTAAATGTTCTGCTGGTAGTTAATGAGCTTAAAGCTCATCCTAACTATTTCTACGTATTCGTATGGTTGTTTTGTATGAGCCTTTAGATAGCATTTAATTCCCCAGTTAAAAAAAATTAAAATAATTAAAAATTCTTAGGATTTTAAATGTTCTGCTGGTAGTTAATGAGCTTAAAGCTCATCCTAACTATTTCTACGTATTCGTATGGTTGTTTTGTATGAGCCTTTAGATAGCATTTAATTCCCCAGTTAAAAAAAATTAAAATAATTAAAAATTCTTAGGATTTTAAATGTTCTGCTGGTAGTTAATGAGCTTAAAGCTCATCCTAACTATTTCTACATATTCGTATGGTTGTTTTGTATGAGCTTTTAGATAGCATTTAATTCCCCAGTTAAAAAAAATTAAATTATATAAAAATTCTTAGGATTTTAAATGTTCTGCTGGTAGTTAATGAGCTTAAAGCTCATCCTAACTATTTCTACATATTCGTATGGTTGTTTTGTATGAGCCTTTAGATAGCATTTAATTCCCCAGTTAAGAAAAATTAAATTATATAACAATTCTTAGGATTTTAAATGTTCTGCTGGTAGTTAATGAGCTTAAAGCTCATCCTAACTATTTCTACATATTCGTATGGTTGTTTTGTATGAGCTTTTAGATAGCATTTAATTCCCCAGTTAAAAAAAATTAAAATAATTA